GGGGGGGGGAGGTTAAGTGGTTTTATCTTACATAAAGGACCATATGAGCTACTGCTTAGGCAGTAGGCACTGCTTAGGCCAAAGTCCACATAAAAAGTCGAGAGATAACATTTGTTTGGACACTTTGACCATGCCCTGTGCCAACACCGTTCGTAACGTGTCAACGCCGTGCCAGAACCACGCTAGACTAATGGCGCGTGGGTGGAGCGGCGCTGACACGGAACTGGAATGGCCACTCTAAACGCTGTTCAAGTTCGTTCATAAAGCAGCAGTATGGAGGGCGGATTTGAAACTAGCATAATCGGTATGTGGCAAAAGGATGTACACCGCGAGTTTTGACCATCCCTTGCAGTCTTTTCTGTCCTCTTTTTCCGCTAGACTTCTATGGTAAGGCTAACCTTGGAAATCACTAATTCATTGTCCACTCTCTTTTAACCACATCTAACACTGTGCATGTGCGTGCGGCTTTCAGTTGCGAGGCTCTACTGAAGGACAACTGCGAACTACCGAGGAACGGATGTCAGACTCACAGGTGTGATCACAGCTTTGCACTTGCTCTGTCCATGCCACTTCTCTTCCTGTTTCGAGCACGAGAACTGGTCTTTGCATGAACTTAACTGGCAAACTAGAAAAGAAATCAGCAAATGTGATGTGATATTGAGAAGTAGCGGCAAATCTTAGAGTTGCCATAGTTGTCAGATATTTCTGCGCTCTCGTTGATTTAGAGCTGGACCTCGAAGGAGGTGCAGCAAATTGATATTCCTAGCATTCTAAAAGCATGTTTTTGATATTTTTTATGCATGTGTGAGTGCAGTGAAACTTTGCTGACAAAACTTTTCGTAAATATGGTTACAAGAAAGCACGTCATTCCCAGCGAAAAATAAATTTTTTACGTCGTTTAGGTTTTCGACTACTCTCTAGGTTAATTCATTTCTAGCATAGCTATACTCACAAAAAATAATGCTAAACTCCACTCTATGACAAACGTTGGTTCTGTTGTTGCATACCTAAGATTTTTTCTGAACGATTTTTTTTTCACCCAGGGTCATAAAATTGCAAAAGCAACGCATGTGGAAAGCGAGCAAACACATTTCCTGGAAAAAAAATCAGGAAAGCTCTGGTCCATTGATAGCGGATGTGTGCGTAATGCAATAGGCCGGTTTTATCTTTGCACAAACACTCTCATCTGACAAAATCGGCCGGCTCATCTTGGGTGATTTTGAAGGTCTGAGCAGGGTTTATCAGTGTTCCTCTTATCATTTCTGCTTACATGTCGGCTCTGGAACTAAGCAGCTTAGTGTTACTGGGGCGCACTTTTGTTGAGCTATTCTAGTCGTTTGGAAAAAGTCGAGAGAGGATTTTGTTCTGAGAGCATTTTCTTCATGAGAAAATCGATGAAAAGAGCGAGTTTGAGTGAAATTGAAAAGAGGGAAGCTGGTTTCTACAAAGTTGTTGATCAGGAGTATATGAATCTCACTATCTACATACACTCTCACTTCAGTGTTACCCACTTTGAAAAAACTCGGCTGAATATTGCTTCGGAAATAGAGGAGCATTATTACTGAAAGAAACTTCATGATTTCTAGTAGATAAAAAAATTATTAGAAGCTAACAAACGAGGTCCCACTCTCAAAAATCGCAAAATTCCATAAAGTAGAATGCGTGAGCTATAAAATTGTGCTAGTGAGTTGCATTTATCTGTAAAAAGAAAATCTGAAAACTCAAAGCAGTTTTGTAAAATAATTTTCTCGGGAGTACGCTGTCGTTGCCCTCTTCTAGAAAAATTTCAGTTTCCTAGGTCTGCAAAGGGTTCGGAAAGAATTCTAGATGGGTTAATTTCACAACCAGGCACTCGAACAATCTGTCACCCTTTACCCCGAATTTGCTCAGACCGCCACACTTGATTTGGATAATTTCACCTTTTGGTCAAAGGATCATTGATGATTGCTCTAATGTAATGCAAACTGGCCGCTTCTTTAATATTTACCCAGAAAATAATAAGTCGTTTTCGGTCATTGTGAACTTTAAGCTACTTTGAAGCACAAGAATCTGAAATTTACTGAAGATTTTACCCGAGAGCGAAGAAATATGTGGCATAGATCTAGCTAGTTCCTCAGTTCATCCGAGCCAAAGAACAGTGCTTGTACAACTTTTGAGTGTAGATTCAGCCTGGTAATGGAGGAAACGGCGAACTACGCCGTTGCAGAGCCCCATGAGGGATCGCTGTTGAAGTCGATCACTTTTGCTGTCGCCATGTCGTTTCACTCCATTTTGGAAGGTTTTGCCCTCGGTGTGCAGGTGAAGTTTCAAACCTACTTTATCTTGAGATATTCTGAGTGAAATTCTACTTCAGAGCACCACTGCTCGGATAGTGACGCTGTTCGTATCGCTGATTCTGCACAAAGGCGT